TGTTGTCTAATGCTGAAAATAAACAATATTAGCAATGGTATACAACAACAGCTAAATACAGAGTACGTGTGTGTTTGTGTGTATGAGATATAAAGGGCGCTGTGCGTGTGCTGTGTGTATATGAGTGTGTGTTTGTGCGTAGGTATTCGTGTGTGTGTGTGTGTGTGTGTGTGTGTGTGTGTGAGAGAGAGAGCTGTGTATGTCTTAGCTGTGTGTATGTGTATGGACCAACTCTTGGCTATCACTTCCAGACTTAGACAATGACAGAACGCGATAATGTCCAAAATACAGCAACTGAGATGAGACCCCAGAGAAGACATCCGACACGTCGAACATAGAGAAGGCCTTTGATCTTAACTGAAGTAACGATACTACAAAAACAGAGGGTTGTGTGACAGCGATATATTTCATTGGAAAACCGCAAATGTAATGGATCGGACACTGAACTCAGTTGCCAACAGACAGTACAAACACTGCCGATGATGTATAGACTGTGGGAATGGTAAGAGAGGCTGTTTAAGTAAACGACGGAAGCAGGGTGAAAACAGTCCCTGGAAAACCGCAGAGAGAAATTACACAAGGAAGGTACCATCATTTTTCTATCACACGGAAGGGTTGAAGAGGGTCCAAGTGGGATGCTGTTGTGGTAGTAATTTAAACGATAGAACTACAGTAAAAACATCATGAGCCTCCAGAAAATTACCAACAAACTTCAGAGCAGATTATTCAAGCAATTATTGATGCAACCAAAGTGCTTGAGGAAAAAAAAATTAAAAACAGCAAAATTGTATTCCTTCGTGACTGCATGTCAGTCCTCCGGGAAAGTCAGAGGGATTCACGAGACAACATGGAAAGAGAACTGACCAATCAGCTAAAAAGACTCTCAGAAAGAATCAAATCGTTCTCCAGTGGATCCCGGTTATCTGCGGCATACTAGGAAATGAGTTAGCAGACAGACTTGCAAAAAATGGAACATAGGAGAAATAACACACCAATTCATTGTCATTTCCAGAAATCAAAACTCCTCAAGGGAAAATACAAGGAATTATGGAGAGAACAAATTAACAGTAAACATCCACAAGCCCCATTAGTAGACTCAACAGAAAGCAAAATACAATAATTTTCCGTCTACGAACAGGACACTGATGGCTCAACTACCACAAGCTAAACATAAAGATTATAGTCCTCACAGTGTGCCTGTCAAACAGGACCACAAACACCTCAGCACATTCTGCAGACCTGCCCACTCTACCTACACTTCGAAGCCCGGCTCTCTAGCGAAGTTTGTTAAACCTGACTTTCGCGGCGGCAGGGTGACGAACTCCTTGTGGTCCGGGTTCACTCCCAGGGGTAGGCAGAAAAGCCACATTTCTCCCAGATTAACGGTACCTATAATGGAATCAATGCCAAAGGGTTGCGATATCCATAGTACCGAGCCAAAGGGTTTACAACTCATGGTTTCTGGATACGTAAAATAAAAAAAAAAACCTACACTTCGAAAAAAAAACCTGGCCTCAAAAGCAAAGTCTGCAGAGTAGGCAATGGGGAACCACGGAGGACCTGCAGCTGACATGCGAGTTCATAGAGGCAACCCACCTGATGGTCTGATCTAAGCATACGAAACCGAACACAAAGAAGTAAGAAGAAGAAAAAGAAACAACGATATCCGGTTCAACCTACCCATATATTGGGATATAAGTTTTTTTTTTTTTTTTTGTACTTTAATTTTGTGTATGTATGCCTGCCAATTACTTTCAACTGTTTAACGTGAAACTGATCGTGTGTTATTTGGAACAGCTTGTAGGAGTATAGATAGTTACGTTTAATATACTTAGGTCCACTTTTTAAATAATTGTGATAACCGTATTTTATTTCCATCTTTGAGATTATTGAAAGTGGTCTAGGATATGATTGTTCTGTAGTAGGATATCTGAACACTTCATAAGTGGACCTTTGTTCCTGTGATGTTCTGTAGTAGGATATCTAAACACTTCATAAGTGGACCTTTGTTCCTGTGATGTTCTGTAGTAGGATATCTGAACACTTCATAAGTGGACCTTTGTTCCTGTGATGTTCTGTAGTAGGATATCTGAACACTTCATAAGTGGACCTTTGTTCCTGTGATGTTCTGTAGTAGGATATCTAAACACTTCATAAGTGGACCTTTGTTCCTGTGATGTTCTGTAGTAGGATATCTAAACACTTCATAAGTGGACCTTTGTTCCTGTGATGTTCTGTAGTAGGATATCTAAACACTTCATAAGTGGACCTTTGTTCCTGTGATGTTCTGTAGTAGGATATCTAAACACTTCATAAGTGGACCTTTGTTCCTGTGATGTTCTGTAGTAGGATATCTAAACACTTCATAAGTGGACCTTTGTTCCTGTGATGTTCTGTAGTAGGATATCTGAACACTTCATAAGTGGACCTTTGTTCCTGTGATGAACTGTTTAATCTTTTACTGTAGTTCTGTAGTAGGATATCTAAACACTTCATAAGTGGACCTTTGTTCCTGTGATGAACTGTTTAATCTTTTACTGTAGTTCTGTAGTAGGATACCTAAACACTTCACGAGTGGACCATTGTTCCTGTGATGAACTGTTTAATCTTTTACTGTAGTTCTGTAGTAGGATATCTGAACACTTCATAAGTGGACCTTTGTTCCTGTGATGAACTGTTTAATCTTTTACTGTAGTTCTGTAGTAGGATACCTAAACACTTCACGAGTGGACCATTGTTCCTGTGATGAACTGTTTAATCTTTTACTGTAGTTCTGTAGTAGGATATCTGAACACTTCATAAGTGGACCTTTGTTCCTGTGATGAACTGTTTAATCTTTTACTGTAGTTCTGTAGTAGGATACCTAAACACTTCACGAGTGGACCATTGTTCCTGTGATGAACTGTTTAATCATTCTGTGTAGTTCTGTAGTAGGATACCTAAACACTTCACGAGTGGACTTTTGTTCCTGTAATGCACTGTTTAATCCTTCACTGTAGTTCTGTAGAAGGATACCTAAACACTTATTAAGTGGACCTTTGTTCCAGTGATGAACTGTTTAATCCTTAACTGTAGTTCTCAACAGCTGTCTATCCCCAGCAGGTTGCCATATGATAACTTCAGTGGGTCATTTCCGCATGAGGAAGAACGAAAACACAGAAGGTAACAAAACATCCAGCCTTGCAGAATACATGAAGTCCTATCCCAGACAAAAAGGCGGTTGAGGAGGGCGGGGAATCAATTAATGTAAATGAACAAGAAACATAACGAGACTGGTGTTTAACAAGATAACTACGACCAATCTACTAAAATCTAGTGGTTTGGTCCATGACAGTTCAGCACAGAAGTTAAAGTCACCGAAATGTGACAGGTAACGGTTTCGAGGCGCGGTCACGCTCCAGCTATTGATGAAATGATTGATGTCCAGGAAGCTACGGTAATTGGGATCTAATCCTTCATTCAGGAAACACCTCGTTTGCTTGAAAATTATAGGGAACTACTGTTGGGTAATTAAATGTCTTGACAGGGGTTGAGTGTCGTCTAACGATCATCGTTCTTCCTCTTCGGCGTTTGTGGAATGAATCAGACCGACAAGGTTAACCCAGACAAAATGAGTTCGATGAAGTCGAATATGTCGGCTGAAAGGCACAAATGTCGCAGCCATGTTGTTAAATAGACACAATGTAATTACGTCACTCAGATTAAATATAAGCCAAATAATGCATGAATAAAATGAAGCCTTTGTGTAGCGGGGGGGGGGGGGGGGGGGGGAAGGGGGGGGGGGGTTTCAACTGTTTCAGTTGCAGATGGTCAGCCAGTGGATAGCGCCGGCGTTGTTTATGCCCTTAGAGAGATAACGAAGATCGGAGCATTTTAGGATCAACGCTCCCACAAGGCTGCTAAAAGTGTGCGAGAACTGGAAGTCAAGATTGTAATGCAGGATTAACACCATACAAGACGTACACTTTCAGGTAAGTCCCGTGCAACAGTGAGGTTATACCGGGGACCCAGACGGGTCCGAAGTGACTCGAAGTCTGGACCAGGCATGGATTACAGAGTAAAGTTAGTGACGTTCAACACCACCAGGGCCGCACATTGCAGCCATGCATGAGAAGTACACCAGAAGTACGAGAGGTCTCATCAACCAGCAAAAGACTGGAACTAGTAATCCTGCGCACTGATGTATATGTTAAAGGGGGAAACTGAGCATCTATCGGCGTTTGCCGAGTGCTGTGAAGATAACCCAACTCATAGCTCTAGTACAGTTGTCTGCTAAAACTACCCGTGCTACGGGTTTAGTATCTAAAGTGAGACGACTAGATGTTGCTCAGTCTCCTAATATTTCGTTACCACACAAAACTGAGAACTAGGTCGACTTAGTCTGGAAAGAAAGTGATCGATTGAACTGGCCAGTTAACTTCCTGTCGCAGTGACTCATTTATCCCGATCTTACGCAGCGCCCTACGGCCAGGGGTTACCCAATCTGGGTGCTCCGAAACCTTGACAGCTTCCAGTCGTTTCACGGATGCGACGTTGGGTTCACGAGGGCAGTTTTTACGAAGACCCCTAGGGGATTGTTGCTGAAGCTACATAGTTCGTGCTTTGTGCTACGCTCTCAGCATTCGGCTAGCTGTTCCGCGGAGGGAAATGAACTAGATAAGGTTACTCTCGTTAAAATGCTGCTGACCCTCTCGACTTGTTTACAGGTACATTTTGGGTCACCTCCAGAAGACGACAGTAGGTGTGCCTGTCGGCTCAGCGGTTATCTGTTCAATCCTCATTAAGGCTGTTCTTTAGTACTAATCTGATTTAATTAGCCCCACAAACACATGTATTGTAGCGGCTAAACGCTAGCCCCGAGCTCGAAGGTCGTGGGTTGAAATTCGCATTGAGCAGGTTTTTTTTCAAAACTGACCATGGTTCCCAGATCAACGATGCCTAAAATGGTATCACCTAAAGTCCTGGGAAGTAAAAGTGATCGGCGCAATGTTGACTAGATC